CTACTTAATCTGTTTATTGCCTAAGGAAACTCCAGAAGCACGTAAAGAATGGCAGTACTGGGTCAGATAAAGAGATTTTTGTCTACCTCTGTATCCTTTGTCTAAGGGTAACATGTTGCAGATACAAAGAAAGAGTGTAATTTCTGGAAGTATCCCTTTCCTGCTTCTGGAGCCTTGTCCGCTCTTTCACAGCCCTTGGTGGACACCTCTTCAGTGAATTTTAATAATTACTTTTTTTGGAAACCACTTGAACACTTTGCAATAGTTTCCTCAACCTGTGCTAGCAGAAGGTATTTCATTTAGCTTTATACAAGTTGCCTGAACAAAGTAAAGCTCAAGTAATGACCTGACCAACTTGCTTTTTACACTCGACTGGTCTTGAGACATCTACCTCGGTGTGATAAAGTAGCACTGCCGGGTAGGCAGCGAGCCCGCCCCAGGCTTGGCAGGAGTGCCTGTGTGTGGACCGAGGTGTATCTGCCTCGGTAGTCTCCTCAGCCATGGCAGGACCCGTCAGCATGTCTGGCTTGACTTTCTGTTGTGCTGGATGGTGTACAAACATCAGAAGTGTGTCATGATCGTAAATTGTCGCTGTGGGGCTGCTGGCATGGGTACGCGTGACTCTTGCTCAGTTGAACCTCTTGTTCAGGGGCACGGCTGTGTGGGTTTGCAGGCAGCTACAGTAAATCCAAAACCAGGGGCTGTTGTCTCGGTGGTCTGGATGTCGTTGGTCTGGCTGTGCTCCCAGGAGCTTCCGAGAAGCTGTGCTGACACTTGTAGCCTGCCTTCATCTCATGAACTTCCAGTGACTGCTGAAGTTAGAAAAAGTTGAAGGTTTCAGTAAAAGGGGATTTCCAGACCTGTAAAGAAAGCTGCTCTGTCTCTGTTAATGTCGGGTCCCTTTCTTTGCAGAGGAAGACGGAGAGGGGAAGTGCAGATGATACTTTGTTTTTTGTACTTTTGGATCTGCTTCCTCCCTTCTCTAAGCCCTGTTTACCTGTAAGATTATCCTAAATGGCTGACTGGATAACCTTTCCTGCAGCAGCAATAGAGTAGCAGCAGCATGCTGGTCAGCCTAATACTAATGCTGTGTCTGGTGCTGATAAATAGTCTTCTGAGCTAACCTGCCGGTGGGAACAGTAGCACTTGGAGCCAAAGAAGTGATTAAAGAGCACGTGTGCAGACAGCAGAGCTGCTATAGTATATGGCTGTCTGATTCTCTGATTAAAACACCAGATTTAATGTTTTCTTTGATAACTGAAATGCTTATCTTGCTAGCACAAACAGCAGCAAACACTGTGTGTCATAGTTGGAGTGTGACTTGAAAGGCTTGGTTATAGATTGAAAGATAAATTCGGATTGTCGTGGTTACCGATATGTAGAGATAACACTGTCTATGAGTGGACTTTGGCTCTTAATGCGCTGCAAGCATGTTGCATTTTGCATCATGCAGTGGAGGTTTGCAAAAGGACACTAAATCTAACCTATATGGACAGTACGTTTGGCTGTATGAAATGCTATAATACTTTAAAGGACTGTGTAAAAAAAAAAATAAACCCTGCTTCAGATCCTTCTAGCGCTCTTGCTAGTCGCTCAGTTAAATCCTGCTTGGTCACAGACGCTGACTGATGGAGAAAATAGTACATGCAAACAAGTCAGGGAGGGCTAATGCTCAGCTGGCTTCTAAAAATACTGCAATAGCTGGATGGTACAGTAAGTTAAGTAACATGCCTTAATTTCATATTGAGAGCATTTATTGGAAGAGGAGGGAGAGCTGGGGATTAAAACACGGAGCAGCCGCATGGCTTACCGGGAGCCTGGTTTCAGCGGCAGCGGGGGGATGGAGGTGGCCCAGAGCAGGTGTCCACCTTGCCAAGGGCCTCGGCCATGGCCCCAAGCCGCAGCCTGACAGCACGGTCACTGGCACCGCACAGTTACAGAAGTTGGGGTGTGGTGGTTTTTTTTCCTTTTCTTCTTTTAACCTTGTTCCAGTGTCTGATCTCTGCTGCAGCTGGCCAAGTGCCACCGTTTGTCTGTGCACAACGGACACAAACAGATTCTGGAGGGTCATGTGAAACTACCCTGAGCTCTTTAAATCGCACCGCCCTTACCTTTTCTCCTCTGCTGCCCGCATTGCTTTAACAGGTGTGGCTTTGTTTATGCACTGCTGTCGCTTTGCTTTAGCACCTGGGTTTTGCTGGCCCTCAGCGCCCAGAGGAAACCTTTGGCTCCTTGCCTTCCTCCAGCTACAGGGGAACCTTCTAGGCAGGAGCTTGCACCTAACGAAACAGGCAGGGCCGTCAGCTTTGTAAAGGCAGCACCGGCCATCATTGGTCATTGAAACCTCTGCTTCTGAGAACTGCGATATATCTTACCGTGGCTTTGGCTTAAACTTTGTGAATAAGGCCTGTGGTTCTCAGCATCTTCTGGTACAGCTGTAAAGTGATTCTAGAGAGGGTGTATCCTATTCCTGTGAATTATTGGCAATTGTTAGTTAAAAAAACAAAACTAAACTGTTTTAGTTGAAGAGTTATGGGCTTGCAGCCAGCTGTAAGCCTGAAGTACTCAGTTGTTTGTGTGTTCCTGCTGTGGGAAGCCCAAAGGTAAAAAGGTGCATCTTAGCCTCATCTCACCTCTGTTACTACACAGCACTGCAAGAATCTTACCTTCCAGTGGGGACTTTTGTGTCTTGGGGCAACTTAGAACACATTTAAGTGTGTAACAAATAGCTTAAAACTGATTTTATTGTTGCACATTTCATTTCTTTTGGGATGTCCTGTCGCTCTTCCCAGCGAAGAGGCAATGTGGAACTGCGTCCACGCGCTGGACACCTGCGCTTGTTCCTGGGAAGTGGTATTAGTGCTGCTAAACTGCATCTGTGGGGTTTTAGCTACCCGATAAAAATACATGATGTTGACTTGCAGGGAGGGAAACACACAAAGAAAAGCTCTGTGCTAGGAGGAAGGCTGGTCTGCTGCATTCTCTATGCCCACCACGCTCACCTCTCAGCCTTTGTACTGAGAGCAACCAGCTTCAGCTTGAAGTTTTGACTGAAACTTTTGCTAGATAAGCATCTCCTCCTCCTGTTGTCCTTCGAGTCATTGAAAGAATTACACTAAACTTTTTGAGGAACAGACTCTTAATTTTGTACGTGCTTTCCACAGTTGCCTTCTCATGCTGCAAGTCCCAAACTTCCTGCCTGAAATTTAAAATTGAGAGGTTGTGTGGCAGGTCGGTGCTGGCTGTGTGGTGTCCCAGGGAAAATGAGATACATCCAGTGAAAAAGACTAGTGCGCCAAAAGGCGGTAGTAATGTTAGGATGCAATACCCTGCGGTTGCAAGGGCTTTGACAGACAGGAGCTCATGAGTTGCTTGTTCCCAATACATGTTCAGTTAGCTCCAGTGAAAGAGCTAGCAAATACTGCTGTTTCAAGAAAGTAAGAACAAATACAGTCATGCTGACAGGAGATCTGGTTTTGTTTTGTGTTGTTTTGTTTTTTATTATTTCTCAGAAGCAACTACAAAAACTTGTGAGATTAGCTCGGTGTGGCTCGTGAAACAACAGCCAGTCTGATGAAAATCAGTGTCAAGAATGTAAAGAGCTATAAGGGGAGGTAGCCAATATGGAGGCAGAAGTCTGAGGGGTCCCAGTTGTATGTGGCATAGATAGATGGATGCCATATGTATCTTATCATATATTGTTTACTTGTAAAAACCTCCCTCAGTCATACCACTGTTGGCAGTTCTTGTCTTGTAAACACCTGCAGGCTCCTGAATCGATCCCTGATGCTGAAGGCACTCATGAGTGGTGCTTGAGTACTTGAATCAAAAGCTCAAGTATTTGCTGTTTGAGATGGAAGAAGAGACAATTTATTTCATATGCTGTATAGCTATATACAGTTCTTACCCCCAAACACTACATCCATTATGGTTTTGAGCATTAGCTTATATGCTGTAAAGTGGGAATGCTGGGCTGAGAGCTCATGGTTGCACGTAGCTGAATTGTCGCTCGCTGTGTGCGTGTTATGGCTCTGCCGCAATTACCACGTCGTTTGCCATGAGGGTCATTCCTATGTTTTGACATAAATGAAAGTCATGCCGTTGTGTAATTATCCCACCCCTTGGGCACAGCAGGAACACATATACAATCATGTATATCACCGCAGCAGTTTATGATTGGTGATATATCTATGCAGTCAACTTTATGCACTTGCTTCTGTTTTTCCATACCCACCCTTAACTGGTGTACGCAAAGGTATGCTAACTTTGTAAAACTGTGTACCTGCTCTAAATTTCTTTTTCGTGCTTCTAGAACTCAATGTGACTCATCCTGCTTTTCTTATTTTTTGTTTATATTTCAATTTTCCTCTTTCTCCTAGTCATCGTCTTTTGGCAAGATCTGTGAGAAACCGTGGTATTTTAGACTTAGCCAAATTCAGTCTGTTAAAACTTCTTGAAACCTGATCTTGTGAGAGTTCTAGTATGAAAAAAAAAAACACCCCAAAAACAGATTGGCATCCAGAGCCATGGATGTTTATCTAAAACTGAACTTCTGATTCCTCTTGAGGTTTAGTTGTTCACTACCGAATCTGTTTCAGTCCAGTTAATTAGTTACAAACCTCTAAGCTGCAGATTTTGAATTAAACAAAACAAAACTCCAAGCCTCTGCATAATTTGATTAAAGAAGAAACTTTTGTTAAACTAGGAAGTGCATTTGCATCACTATTTCCAAGTTTGAAATGCAGACTGATATACAGGTGAGCCAACGGCATAGTCATTGATTCTGGATTCATGCCACATGTATTAATGTGACAGTCTAGTGTCCCCCCTGTAATCTCGTCTGCCCCCCGCCCTTCTTCTCTGACACTGGTTTCTTCTTTCAAGAGGTATGGCAGGAATTTTTTTTTTTTTTGTATCGGCGGTTTGGCTCTGTGCAATGTAGCTTGTGGGGAGTACAGAATGGCTGGTTTTCACAAGATTTTCTACTCTTCTGTTTTTAGGACAATGTAGATCAGACTTCGGCTCATGGTCGGCGGGATCTGGTGGAGCCGGGTTTCCAAGAACCATCTAGCCGCATCTCCCTGAATCACCAAGGTAAGGAACAGTCGGTGGGAATCCAGGCTCCTTAGGGGAATGCAGAGGTTGTTTTGCCTCCATGTTGCCATTGCTCTTTCTCATTTAAAGAAAAAAAAAATTGTTCTGGATGCTTGGAGGAGGAGAGCTGAAGAAACCGGTTTTCATCACAACTGTCCTTTGAGCTACAGATGAAGATGATGAAGAATTTGTGGTGCATTTCAAGCCTTGTAGCCCAAACTGGGATTGCTAGCCTGGGTGGTAGGGATAGTCTCCTGTGTTTAGGAGCGGGGAGGAGGGAAGTACTGAAATTGAATTCAGCATTTGTAATGTTGAAGTTGCATTTAAAAAATCTCTGACTGCCATAGGAAGGGTTCAGGGCTGTGGCTCAACTTTTGCAGTAGGAGAAAAGAAAAGTACGTTTACTTGCTTTGCATGACAGAAATCAACTCATTTGGGGAAAGAAAGTCTTGAACTAGGCATTGTAACGCTATTGCCGAAGTTTAGCTTCTGTAATTCAACAGGACCGTACATAAAAAGTTAAAATAAATCTTAGAAGTCTTTCTTTGCCAATTTCTGTCTGTTCAGATACCTAAAAAAGGCTGTTACTATTATAGCAGGGATGTTTTGGCTCAGCGTTGGGTTTTTGGCTTTGAAATAATTAACAGTAGAGAGTGCAGTCTTAACCAGTGAACCCACTTACCCTCAGGGTTCCTGATGGCTTAATTTGGAACCAAGTCCGTGATGGTCATTTTCAAATGTTGTCTCTTCAGTGCAACAGCTAATAGTATTGCAGTCAGAACAAAGCTATTGAAACAAAAACAATCATGAACACATTACTTAAAATATTTACGAAATTTCACATGCTTAACTTTTCCTTTAGAAATTCAGCTTGTTTCGTTTGTCAAAGGCAGCAAAACTGGAATTTCATGACCTAGAGATCCTCAAGACTATTTAAGTTTCACAAAAGTCCCACAATATAACGAGGATTGTATTTCATGTACTCCCTTCCCCAAGCCTTCCAGTTTTTTAAGCTTTGATCTGACTTGAAAATAGAAGGTAACAGGTTGCCATATTATCCAATCTGAAACTCCTAGTAGCACAGGCAGTGTCTTGTGGCATGCTTGCATCCATATAGCACAGAGTTCATAAATTCCCTTTTTCATTCACATTAGGATGGCACTGTTACATTGGGATGCTCAAATCCTGGAGCAGATTATATATGTGACTTCTTATGAAGCTGTTGGTAAATATCCCCCTTTAATCAGGGGATTTGGGGGGGGGGATCCCATAAATCCCGTGTGGTCAAAGTTCAGGTGTTAAAGTATGTGTGGCTGTTGCTTAAGAAGTCTGAACATTTATTGAAGAGCTAGGTAATACTGCATTTTAATGGCAAAATGCCAGCTTTGTGGCCTGACATTTTCCTACTTGCTTTTCAGATCCTTCTTTTCCTCTGTCCATATTGTAGTACTGCAGGAAGATCCGTACAGTGTCCCCTGATGTGTGGCTCTGCCTCAGCCACCGAGACAAGTGTCTGTATGCAGACTGGTCCAAATTAATTTACAAAACAGCTATCTTTAAAGAAAATGTTTTGCATAGGAGGCACTGGTAGTTTAATGCCTGTTTCTGAAACAAGACCCAGTTAACGTTTTTCCCAATACTTTCTGAAGTAAAGATCACTTTTGCACCCACAAATTGAGACTTTTTTTTTCTGTCAGCTGGCTGACAGCAGTCGGATTCAGTATTTCTAAAATCTTCCTGATTTTGTTGAAGTAGGTATTTAGAATGTTATTAGTCTTGCCTACCCCCGTGACCATGAAACCCTGTTACGTAAGTGGCGTGGATTAAGAACTGAAGCCTGAATGCCCAGAGGTGGCCTTTAGTGCTGCTGCAGCACCTTCATCTCTTTGCAGCGTTGGGGGGAAGTGACGTGCTTTGCAGGTATGATAACCTGCCGCCAAGTGTGAGCATCTACAGTCTTTCATAACTTATGAAATAGACATTCTTGTCCAATAACTTGAAAGTACAAGGGTTTTAAGAACTGCCACATATTCCAGTAACTGATTAATGAATAGTACATAGAAAAATGAAAGACAAAGAGCTTCAGAGGGAGTTGTGACATGGTCTCAACTAGCTCAGATGCAGTCACATCAGTCACACAATGAATAGGAAGGCTAGATTATTAATGAAAAGTGGGTTTCTGTGGCAGCTGTTTCCTTTGGTTTTTTACCCATACATTAAACTATACTATCCATTAATTTATATTAAAGCTTTGCTGGCATTGACTTCAGTGAAAATCTTAAGAGTAAACTGGTATCCAGAAGTAACTTGCAGGACCACTGCTTGCATTTAATAAATTAATGTTTGGTGGTATGTCTTGATTATACTGGTGATAAAGATATTTGCTACAGACTGTGGCAAATTTTGCTTCCAGTTATGTACAATATTACTTACTGATTCAGCTTCTACTGACTAGCAGATCTAAAGCTTTTATTTGCATGTTTCACAAGAATTTTAAGGAAAACTGATAGGCTTGCAACAAAGCTGGTTTGGTGTATACTTAAAGCGAGCGGAAATCAGAAGGACTAGAATTGGCTAAAATATTTCGTTTGTTAGGTGCTCCTGGCCTTTTTCCCTTTAATGTGGTGTGCCCTAAACGCTGCAGCTGAACTCTGAGCAACCATACTTACTACGTTATTTTATGCTGACGCTTCCAATTCGTACCTGACCACGTTGCTCAGGGCGCACAGCAGATTTGCCGGTTTCTGTTGAACATTAACTTATAGCCCTTTGCTTTTCACTGGGAGAGCTTTGGTACAAGCACTTGCAATTCTAAACCAGACCCTGCTTTCCACAGCCTATAAAAATGGTGATTAGCTTCCTCCCAGGCATCTGAATCCCTTCAACACAAGCTGGAAAAAGAGCATTCAAGTGGAGACTGAGATATCCCTGCCAACTGTCCCTGCGTGAATAAGCTCTTTCTTGTGAAGGGTATTTCAAGTACATGTTTATAACTGTTCAGCTTTTTATTTTAAAAGAACACCTTCTAAAGATTTGGGAGCAGAGAATACTTTTTGTCAGGTGAGGAGTCTTTAAAATAGGCAGGTTTCATGTGAAACAGATGTAAAAGGTTGAGTGCAGATGGAATGGTATTTTTTCCTAGAAATAGTTCAATAACTGCTTGTGTGTAGGTATGCTGATAAACTCACTTACTTGAACAATGAGTATTTTTATATCTAAGCCAGTATTTAGTGTTCACTTTTCTATGATTCTGCGAGTTGGGCAAATTTCATAAAGGTACTAAATACAGAGAGCAGGAACTAGGATTTCTTACCTCTATTCCCCAAAAGCTACCTCATAAATTAAATGCAATAGGAAAGAGCAAGCTTCATCCAGCTGAACAATACTAATATCCACTGATGTAAAGGAAAAGATACTCTTTCAGCTACCTATTGAAAGTTAACAATAGCCAGCCAAGATTTGGCATTTAATGAACAGCCAGTTGGTTATTTTCTTTAGCAGCCCTTTCAGAAGCTGTAGTAAAGCCTTTAGGCTTGGAGAAGAAGAATGTATCTGAACTATGTGGCATTTTCTGAAGAGTTAAGGAAGGAAGTGAAGAAACGATCAAAATAATGATTTACCATCTTTAAAAAACACCAAGAGAAGGAGGCAGTGAGAGCGTGCTTGGGATGGGTCAGGTGATGCTGTTTTTTTCTTTTCTGTTTTTCCCTTCAGGAGTGGAGTGTGGAGGTGAAAGAAACTGTAGCCTTCTCAGCCACGTTTTGCTTTGCAAAACATTTAGCACTCACAAGTCTTTAATTTAATTTCACAGTGACAGGTTCTCTGCAGTGTGCAGCCTGCAGCGTTTGTCCCTTGTTCAGTAGTGAGTGGCAGAGCTGGGGAGCTCAGCAGTGATTTTAGTCGAAACACGTGCACGCGCGGGGAGATGCCATTTCGAGGCCTTTCGTAGGGGCGATGGGCTCCAGCACTCGTTCTCCCTGTCTCGTCCCGAAGGACGCTGCTGGCTCTCCTCTCTCCCCACGCAGTCCCCGTCCCTCTTGGCTGAGTGCGCCGCTGTACGGGGCCACCATGGTTAACCTTGAATGTGTCCCGGTAGCAAGGCGAGCCCGTCCTACGGATTTCCCTGCGCTGCCGAGGAGCGGCCTTGCCGCGTTGAAGTACGGTAGCAAAATACACCATGCAACAGAAAACCGTAAGCCCAACTGAATTTGTTTGCTCTCGGACTTCAGGGGGGACTTTAACCTGCCAGCCGTGCCACTGCTGTTTCTCATCTTGCTCTGTAGTTCTGGGTTTTTTTGCTGAGGTGTGTTTCTGAGCTCATTTTTCTGTTTGTTTTTCTAGCAAGCAGCAAATAGTGCCAACTCTAGTCCCGGACGTGAAGTTTATGGGTAGTACCTTTTATTAGTACTTGACATGTACCTTTTCAGATTGTGTAGCTACTACTTATTTAGGATTTTGAAGCTGGGCATAAATCAGAGGCATTCTGTCACCTTGACTTTGAGTGGAAGCATTAGACATGCAATTCTAGCACTTCCCGGGTGTGGGGTTATTGTCGGTGTCTGTACACATGTGTTTTGCCATGGGTCTGTGATGAAAGATTTATCTTCCTTTTCTTAACACATTCACATGCGGCCTTCCTCTGCTGAGGCGCACTTGGCTCTTGTTGGACTTGGTGCTTTCTGTCACAGCCGTTGGCAGACAGAGCTGAGCCAAACATTGTGGTACGTCTGGCTCGACAGTCAGGTGGCTTCGGCAGCAGAAATAAAATGCTGATATGAGTTGCTTTAGCCAACAGCTGTCCTTTGTCAACAGCCAGCTCATCATTTGGGCTTTTCTTGCTTGGTCATTGTCAGAAATCTTGCCTGTAGCGAGACGATGAAGATGCTGTGGTTGCGGATCAGTTGGAATTAGGTTTTCTGCCTATATGTACAGACAACTTGTTCCCACAGAAACTGGAGGGATCCAGCCTACAAAAAAACTGGAGAGGGACGTTTTACAGG